CACTGCAAGACATTTTCCCGTCACCTTCATCATTGCTAATGCTGTTGCTGGTTTCCCCTGATCCCACCTGTCAGGGACACCTTCCACTGTCCCAGGCTGCTCCAAGTCTGGCCTTGGACACTTCCAGGGATGGAGCAGCCACAGCTGCTCTGAGCACCCTCACTGYAAGACCCTCAAGGGCCTGTGGGAAGAAGGAGGCCAAAGGAAGAAAAACTAAAGCAGCAGTGAGATCCTATGGGATCTCAAAGGTCTGGGGAGATTTGTTAAAGCTTTACATTCACTAAAAACCTATTTTTGGTGCTCCTTGTGTGCAGTCACAGGTGTCTGGTATCAGGAGTCTGGGTTCGTCTAACTGGGAATAACTTGGGSTTTTGTGTTAAGCAAATTCACCAGTCTGGTGGACCTGAGTGATGGCATTTTGCTTTTCATGCATGTTACCAGAAAAGCTTAATTTATTAAAAAATTACTTATCAAAATAACTCATGCAGATGTTAAAGGCTGAAAGTGTGTTGGCTCTTAGTGGGAGCTGTGAAAACATTTTATTTATTTTGCTGAATGTTTCCTTGCCAGCTGCAAAGCACAGCTGCCTCTTGCAGTGCACAAGGGGATGCTGCTCTTCTGGTCTGCCAGGAAGCTCTGGGAAAGCAGTGGTGGAGATGATGGAAGCTCTCCTGGCACACTCAGGCTGATGGACTCCAGGAGCTGAAGGAGCTCAGCATTTTGCTTGTGACCACTCACTTAACACTGAGATAAACCCTGGTCTATTCAGGGACTTTGTTCCTTACACTTCAGTTGAGTTTTTGAGCAGGTGGGGAGATAATGATCTGCCTTCCCAAAGCGCCGTTATTAATAATAATAATAATAATAATAAAGTGCTTAAGATGGTAATTTGCATTTCAGCAGCACCTTTAATTCATGGCTCTCTGAATGCTTTGCAGACATGGATTAACAAGGCCTCACAACAACCCTGTGAGGTAGGTGGATATGACCATCCCCACTGTTGTGGGGACAATGAGGGTGCTGGGGATAAGGGGCTCGGAGCAGTCGTGCTGGGATTTGACCYACAACTCGGGCATTTAAGTCCCATCATGCCTTCAGCTTCAGATCAAGCTTTCCCAATGCACGGGTCTGGCTCGACGTGGGGCTACGCTGATTAACGAGCCCGTGACTGCCTGGCACACACTATAAAGGCCATTAATCTAAGGCAGCGTTTTATTAGYGGAGTAGATGGTGCCTTGGTGCTTCTTGCTGCTGGAATTACTGGAGTGTTTGAAGGCATATATAACTCTATAGAGTTAAATAATAACCACCGAGCATGGCAGGCTGTAACTGGAGAAAGCCCTTAGGCCCCAGGTGGGGAAGCTATGTAGGACACTACTGTAAATGTATTGATCAGAAAGGACATAATAATTTATATATAAAATCCACACTTGCTCTTTCCCCGAAGCCAAAAATAAAAGAACCTAGAAAGCCACTCCTCATTGTCACGTGTCAGCGTCAAGCTCTGGGCTCTTGGCTTCATAGCACCTGCCAAAAGAACAAAACGTGGAACATCAGCAGCCTGGTTGGGCTAGCAAAGGGACTAGAGCAATGTGTTCTGCCAGACTCAGTCTCAGGTTTAAAACAATTGGAAATTATGTGAATTCCTCGTGTGGGGTGGACCTGAGAGTCCTGATGGAATGGGCTTCAGTGACCTGTGGAGCAGGAGTGGGTGAGCTGGGCTGGAGGGTGAGACCTCGATACGTCACAGACCTCTTCATTTAATGACAAACCCCTCCAGCTCTGCAGCTGGATGTAGGGGATGTCCCATGAGGTAAACTTGGCACCTCGAGTTCAGCCAGATCAGATGAACCCGAGATGGGCACCCAAACTTTTTACCAGGCTCACTGGAGCCAGTTTGGACCTTGAGAAGTTTGATGACAGCTGTTTCCTGTTATATTTCTGAAGGAATAAAAGAGCAAAGAAACACCTGAGGCATGCTCTTAGCCAGCCAGGAAAATGACCCCCAGCTGACTCCCCAAAAAAAACAAGGCTGAAAAGGGAAACCTTTTCTGATGGGGGGTAGCTCATGCTGTTATTGGTGTTGATGTTCTTCATGGAGATCAGAGTGATGCTGTTCCCCTTCTGGCTCGTGTCTGCTGAGCAGCTGCCAAGGAGAGAAGGAGATATTAACTCCTCTGAGAAACAAGACAGGGAATCACAAAATCACAGAGTCACTRAGGCTGGAAAAGATGTGCWAGATCATYGAGTCCAGCCTTTGAGMAGTCACCACSTTGTCACCCAGCCCAGAGCACTGACTGCCATGTCCAGGCATTCCTTGGACACCTTCCGGGACAAAGTTTCATTGCCCCGAGCTGGAGGCAAACAGGCAAGGCTGAGGCTGGTACAGGGGACCAGGTTTGGCTTCCACTGCCCACTGAGCTGCTGTCCTAATACAGCCCCATCCTTAGTGAGTTACAAGCCTTAGGAAGGTGGAATTCCTCCTTTTTCCTATCCTGAGGGCTGTAAAGTGTATTCAGTATCAATGGAGACTTTGAGATCTGTGAGCCCTGAGCATTGTCGTCTCTTATGGCATGTTCTGCCTTAGTGGCTTCAGATCCCTTGGATCATGATTATTAAGGGTATTTGGAAACCATTGATGTTGATGCAAATTTGGTACCTAAATATTTACAGACTTGGCTCCCTGTGTCCTTTGTCCCTTTCCAAAGCAGGGTTTAGGAAACTATCAGATGGAAAAATAGGAACAATATGTTTTGGTCCCTTCCAGCTCTTGTTTCCTGCTGTTTTCCCACGTTCAGCCTCTCCTCTGCAGTAGCAGTGATGGACTGTGGGGTTCTGATGGACCATCCTCTGCCTCAGGCTTCACTTCCAAAGCTCTCTGAGCTGCRGCTTCCTTGTCCTGCTCTCGCTCGGTAACAGTAATGGAAGATATCTGAGATTGTTTTGASATTGAAAAACTCAAGTTTACACCTCAAGTCTGTATCTAGGCAAGGAAGAGAAGCAAACTGCTTTGGGAAGATGATGAGTCTTCTCAAATCTCAGTGCAGCTTGGAAATGAGGTCCCTAAATATACCTATTTCTCTATCAGAGGATGAGGTGTTATCAAAGCTGATATTTCTTTTCTGCCTCTCTCAAAGACATCTTGAGATGCTTCCTTTCACCCAAAATAACCAAAGCAGACTCTTTTCCTTGCTAAAATTAGCTCTGGGATAAAACAGGCACTCTCAATCAGATGTGGATAGCATGATCAGCCTTACCTCTCTGATACCATGGAGGTTCCTGGTTTCTGTTTGTCTGAGGGGAGAAAAGCAGTYGGTAATGTAGAGGTGAGAAATCATCCCAGCTAAGCCATAAAATAACTCAGCTCTAGTCAGAATTACCTTGTACAGGGATATAAATCAAATCTCAATTGGAGATTGGAGATATTGTGGGGGAAGCTTGGGAGTTGATTGGAGAAAATCCTTCAACCAAGGGGACATACAGGCAGGACCTGCTGGCCCTGCTGCCTGTTCACTCACCAGCACCCTTTGGGCTTTAGGAAGRTGTCTGCCTTGCTGCAGAGCAGCCTTGCCCTCTGCTGGGCACTGCTKAGTGGGAAATGGGATTCCTAGGCCAAAGGAGGGTCAAAGTCCATGACTTTTCTGGAAGAGCTGCCCACCTCTTGGAATTTGAGTGCCTTGAACTTGAGACCACGTCCAGAAGGGCAGGGCTGGGGTTCTAGCGAGGAAGTCACACTGCATTCCCAACTGCTCAATCCATGTTCCAGCCTGGCTTCAAAACCTCCCCACCACTGTGTAAGCTTTTCAAATGCATCCTTTAGGAATTGCCAGATCCACATGGAAGCTGGTGAGTTGTTCATGGGAAGTACAGATTCCCCCAGAAAAATACCTTCTGAGTCCTTGGAGTGGTTGCACTTGAACCTCAGGCTGACCACGCTGACCAGGATGATGACCACCACTATCAGGATAACAACAAAGCTAATGACACCTGGGGATGGAGGAGAGAATTGTCTGAGCAGCAGAGAGACTTTGACATCAAAACTTGGGTAGGAAATCAATATTTTCATTAATGTGAGTACGGTATGTAATATGCAGAGAAGCAAACAGTTGTTAGAGTGAATGGCTTTATCCTCTTGTGTTTTAACTTCAAAGGGCTTCTGATGAATACTTAATCAATAAATACTTAATTGATAAGGGAGTGCCAGGAGAGCAGGAATCAGSTGATTACACTGGGGATTGATAGGAATCAGTATGTTCTGGCTACAGTTGGTAAATCTTATCCCAAAAGCGTGTAAAGMCAGATAAATAAGTAATGTAGCAGGGAGAGACAAGCTAAAGCTGTGGGTGATGTTATCCATCCCGTAAACCACGTTTAGACACTTTAAATGCAGATTTGGTACTGATGTCAGGCCTCAATGAATCAAACAATTCTTTGCACAGGACATTTGTCTTGCTAAGAATCTCTCAGACTTAGAATCCTGGAATCATGGAATGGTTTGGGTTGGGAGGGACCTTAAAGCCCATCCCATCCMACCCCCTGCCATGGGSMAGGRMWMCYTYC